GGGGGGGGAAGAGAGAACGAGATAGCCTAGCCTGACAGCCCCGGATGGTGACCCACCGGAACACCACCGTGTCGTCGTTGGGCGCTATGACGTACGGCCGGCCTGCATTAACCCTTAATTACGGCGACGTGGAGTCGCCGGGACTCCACTGCCACTTATTTCGCAATTTTGTTTCATTTAGGTTTTTCCTTCCCCCCCTCCCCCCCGCCTTAAAAAAAGAAACAGATAAAATCTGATTCCGCGTACAATTAATGGTGAAACGTAGAAAGAGAATGCAAGTGAAGTTTCGCATCGCAAATGGAAGTAATTCTTTTCCTTTCCCCTTTTTCTATGCCTATAGAAGTAAGAGTATCGGTTTATCATTCTTCGGGCTTAGATTAGAGTTAATAAATTATCGAGATTCTCTTAGCACTTCCACGGAGTCTAAGCCAGCCTCTCTGTTTCTTCGCTTCTTGTTGATCTGCTTCTCCGTTGCGTTTCTTCAGGTGACTTCGTTTCTCATTAGCCCCGCCAGTCTACCAGCCCCGAAGTCTTTTCTCATTCTCCTCCGACCGCTTCTTCTCGCAGGATCCCATTAATTAAGTCTTGTAAAGATTTCGTAATCTAAACATTCCGATCTCGTAAACATTGATCACTCTCGCAAACCTGGCAACTCACGACTGTTTACGCCACATCAAACTTGCGGACCGCATGTGGTCTTCGATACCGTAAACATATTAAAATTCATCCATCGATGGAGAAAAAGAAGCTCGTTTAAAATTCGTATTCTTTGTTTAAAATGCGGCCGTAAAAAGACTCGAGTCTGACAGATTAATGTCCATTTCTGCCAATATAGATGAATTTTTTAATTTTTTTTTATTCTAAAAACTAGGAAAACTACAGAATGTAAATTCAATCGGAATTAAAGTAATTTAATTGTTAAGTAATCTAATTGACAGAAGTGGACATAAGTATTTAACATTTTACCACGGATAGGAAAGTTTCAAGATTTCTTTCGAAAACATAAAGTACGATAACGAATTTTCTAACATCATTATTATCCTCTTCATTATTGTTGCATTCAAATCTTTCAGAAATCACGTGGAAACGCTGCCACAATTTTTTTCTGTAATGAAGCCTCTTGCGTACGTGCGTGCTCGCGTGTATCTCGCACGTGTGCTCGCGCGAGCGCGCGTATTACGATCGAGGATCCAAATACAACGGATGGAATGCAGCGGAACGCGTTCCGGTTATTTTTAGCCGGACCGATTCGAAAATACACCCACCGCGGATTAAATATAGCTCGGGGATGCATGGGTGTGTTACACGCGGAATGCAGCGCGGCGGCACGCGGGCGATCTCGCGTGTCGCGCGGAACGATATGCAAATTCGCGCGTCGCGCGCCCGCTTGCACCGAGGCGAGACGCGAGCACCGGGGATCGGTGTCAGATGATAGAAATTCGTATTGCGATATATAGATCCCTGGCAGACATTTCCTTGGAGAGAATACCGAGACGATTATTTGTCGCAATTTTTCGTTTCATTTAGCTCTTTAACTCCGTCAACGAAAAATTGAAATTTCTAAATATTTGTATTAAATTATAAATTATTCTTTCCCTCAAATCGATTATATAATATTTATCGTAATAATCATATACGCACAATGTAAAATATGTCACGTTCAGAGAAAATTATGAGAAAAAATTGCAATTATACATATTTTTTTAATGTATATTTTTTTCATCGTGTATTACACTGCGACAATCTACCATGATTTTTATTAAATCATGGTAGATTTTTTTTCTCTTTAGGATTGAGACGAATGAAATATATCACGGAGTTTGTGCTTCCACGTGTCTTTACAGAAATGAGGGGTGGAGTGGATGAATATATAAAATTAGAAGACTGAATAATGAGACCCCCCGTTACGCTGGCACGTGTGCTAAAAACGAAGGAGGTCACGGTTTACGCGAGAGGCGGGGGGAACGAAAACAAGCCAGGGAACGAAGTGACGTTTCATCGAGCAAATATGCCGCGTGATCGTCCCTAATTTCATTCAATCCTGCGAAATTGGGCGATTTCACCGCGCGAGACATTTATTCAATCGAGATCGCGGCGTCTTATTTTACTCAATCTTGTAGGGTCGCGGAAGCGGCCGATTACGACGTAGTATAAAACTCCCGTGTCGATTTACCGTTGCCGGAATACTGGAACTGAAAGGTCTTCCTCGCGAATATTTCACAAAAATGAAATCGCATTTTCCCATATTTTTTCCTTACTTTTCTACAACGCCACGTACTTGAATGATTTCGTCAATGTTTCCCATTTATTGGTTGTATAATAAGCAGAAAAATCCGGTTATAAGAGAGTAAAACATCATCAGTATTTTATATCGAGTGTTTAAGTAGGAAGTACATACAAACAAGCGAAGTTGTCGCGCGAAGTCGACGACGATACGATCGAGCGAAGCCCGACAATAGCGATCTTTCGCATTCCGCGGCTGCAATCCCGGCGGCGCGGCGCCGTGCGCGTCGTCGACGGTCGCCGTTGCTGTCAGCTGGCTTGTCCCTGTAAATTCCTCGTCCGAGCAATTTCGCTCCCAACGAAAACGAGCCGAAGAGGCTCTCTCCATGTCTCGAGGAGGACGCACTTCGATCAGACAGTAAAAAGACGGCAACGCCGAGTTCGTATCCCGCGGGATTAAATATCCGATCGCATGTTGTAGCCGCTGTAGACTTCTCCTTTTAGGGGATTCTTGTCGCCTGCGAGGGAGGGATCGGTGGAGTTTGCGGCAATAATTCGAGTCACAATGTTGCTTGAGTATCATTTATTGTTTTTTTTGTTTTCGCTTGGCTATCAATAAATTCGGCGAGCTGCGTCGCCGTTTATATATGTACACTGGGCGGCTGGACATCGTCCGTCTCATCCTACGTTTACGGTTATAGCAATAATTTAACGGCGCTACGACTTAACAGTACACTAATGATATACGTCGGTAATCATATATATGCGTTAATTCTATACGTGATACTACGCGCGCACTTGGGAATGTTCTTATGTACAAAAGTAGTTACGTACCTATATATGGCGGGGCCGATTGCAGGATCGTTGTTACGTTAAAACCTCCGGAAATAAACGCAGTCAAAAGAATTCTCCGTTAATCAATTGAAATCCGTAATTATGAGAAACGTGAGTTAGTAAGGAAGATCAGGCCGCTATTGCCCTGAACCCTTCAACGATCAAACAATCGAACGGGAGAAATTAAACGCTGTCAGTCATTAGCCTGGCTATTTACAATTTGAGAACGCGTTATCCTGCGATCTTTCAACCGCAAGCAAAAACGAGCTAACGATCAAGTTGTTATTATATATGTGTCAATGGAAATATTAATCTTGTCCATTACAATTCGTACGAATAATCGTTATTTCTATATCAATAATTTCGTCATAATCTTCTTCGTCGCAACAAAAAAGGATTAATCGATCACGAATCAGACTTTAAAGATCCAGACCTACTGAGATTTCTCTATTTACCTCCCTGTGTCCATCTCTCCAATTCTTTTGATATCACCGCTTTTCTTCGACGCGATGTCTGATCGCGGCCGATGCCGCGTCTCTTCGGAATCGCGTCTCGCGACCAGGTCTCCCTCTCCTAACGACATCCGCAACGGTCCGCGATCATGTCCTCGTACATCTTGAGCACGACGTTCTCGTTGTCGTCGTAGAAGAGGATGCTGGTGCTGAGCAGCTTGGTCGGCACGCAGCACGGCCTCTCGACGTCCTTGGCCTGCATCTTGTGCACGATCGCCTGTATCGTCGCGTGATTCGTCGGCTGCTGGTCCTGGCTGAGGGGCGGCTCGCACACGCCCTTGCACTGGTACGCGGAGTAGCCGGCCGGCGCGATTATCGAGGACGACAGCCCGATGTCGCGGAAGTCCACGTAGAGCTCGTGCCTCGCGCACTCGGTCGCGTTCCCCCGCGGATGCTGCTCCGGATTCTGATCGCTCGCCGATCGCGCCGGTCGACGACGCCGTCCCAGCCTCTTGCGAAGCCTCGTTCTCTCGTAGATGTCCGACGACGAGAGGATTTGCGTGATCCGCAAGCCGTGAGTCTTCGACACGATACCACCGCGTCCCCGGGAGGCTGTTGCGTCGCGACGACGGCGCCTCGTCGCTTCTAAAGGCTCACCGTAACGGGAAGCTTTGTCCTGATCCTCCTTTCCCTCCTCGCGTCCTCTCTTTTGCCGCCGGAAAAATTCCGGCTCGTGCCTATTTACCAACGGAACCTCCTCGAGCTGACCGTCGCCTCTTCGTTGCCTTTTACGCCTCCTGTATGACTCGGCGCCGTCGTAGTCGTTCTCCAAATCGATCTTCTCGCTCTCCACGTCCTTCTCGTACGCGGGACTCTTTCCACGGTTCCTCCCATCGTCGTCTTGATTTCCGTACGCGTAATATCGCGGCGCGGCTACCGATCGTCCGCTGGACCGATCGCTACCGTCGTCGTCGAAGAGCACCAGTATCGGCTGCTTGCTGTGGTGATAGTCGTTTCGACGGGAGAATTCCACCGATATCTCGTCCTCGAATGGATCCTGAGCCGTCACCAGGAGGCCCAGATTTGGCTCACCGCTCATCCATCCCAGGACAGCTTGCTTCACATTGAATATCTGTACACACAAACGTTACACTGTTGAAATATCTAATGCGATATATTAAGCGTATTTAGTCAAGCAGCTGACGACGAATTGCTGAATGTCTTTAAATTTTATTGAATGAAAATGTGTGAAATTGACACTTTCGATTTTTAATCGATTTAACCTTTCATGATACGAATAATTTGCGTTTACCTGCCAACCGGAAGCGTGCGCGCCAACGTAACGAACGTTCAGCAATCTGTGGAGATCCGGCACGTCGAGGCTGCGATCGTCCAGGACCTGGTACACCCTTATCTGCTCACATATCGAGATTTGTATTAATACGTATTAACGCGACAGTAATTCTGACCGTCCGCGTCATCTAATTCTCGTGCATTCAATAAAGATTAACACGCTGATCGGCGACGCTGATCGTGCCAGGCACTTACCAGATAATAAGGCGACGCGGACGTCATCAGCAGACGTGCGTTTCTCGATGGCATTTTCCTCCGGTAGAGATGCAGCTCGGCCTCCAGCACCGACTCGTTCATTTCCAGCCCCGAGACGTTGAAGAAGTAGAAATGCGATAGGGAAGGATCTACGAGAAATCGCGAACAACATGTAAAAACGTTACAAGTCGCAACTTCTCGCGCTTGATAACGAATTCCGCGAGTGTTTCGTGATTATACTGACTGAAGGAATTACCCCTCTCGACGAAGCTGCGCACGACCCTGGCGTTGTAGGGATTCCGGCCTCGCGTGACCCCGCTGGGATCGGCGATGGTGTTGTAGAGCTCCATCATGAATTGCGGCGGTACCTTGCGATGGGCCAGATTCTCGTTCTGACTCCGAATACCGAGGATCTGCAATGCATTCGTCACTTTACCGTTAGTGCGAAGTTTAAGAATTCGTCGGTCGGAAGACGACAAATCGCTAACCCGAATCGGATTCGCGTAGAATTTTCAGATATCTGAGCTACGCGGAAATTGTGTCCGCGAGGTTTTAAAATCCCATGTTTTTACGAGCAATTTTGAAATCGATGTTGGCGATCCTCGTTTTGACTCCCGATACGTTCGCATCTGTCGCATTCTATCCGGTAAATGCCACGATCGGAGAACGTTTATACGCGATGCGAGATTATCGTTGTCACCTCTTGTATTTTCTGGAGCACCTCCTCTCGTCGGGGCGCAAGGTTTTCATCCGCTGGTTGGACGAAGGGCCACGACGATTCTCCGAGTTCCTGCTCGACGTCGTCCATGTCCTCGATCCGGTGGTCCGACTTCGGGTACGCGTTAACGTCGCACAGAGACGTCAGTGAGAGCAGCAGCAGCACTAGGAAGCGGCACGGCGCGCTTCCCGTCATCGCCATCGTGAATCTGCGTATGTCGCGAGGAGAAAGAGAAGAGAGGTCCACCCGTGATTCCGCCGTCGAGTTCCGTTTCCTCGATCGCTTCACAATCCCGAGAAATCGCGATTCTCTCCGCGAAAATCTCTCGGCACTGTCACTGGTCGTCGCCGTCGAGCATCGACGGCTTACTGTCTCATTGCGATCGGGAAGGATAACGAGCCCTGTCAGCCTTTATCAGCGCGAAAATGGAAAAGAGGAAGAGAGAGAAAAAATACCACGCACGAACGATTTTGTCGAACGGGATGCTAAGTGGCATATGGGAGGTCTTGGCCGCGAGGAGTCACCTTTATGCTACTCCAGGAGTTGCCTCCCCCGCAACTCGCTCGCCCCCCCGGCGGCATTGGCTCTCTTCTCGCTTCTCCCTCGCCCTCGTTGTCGTCGGACGGGGGACTCCGCGGTGCGATCTTCGCGCTTCAGCAATGTTTGCTTCCACCAATATTCTTTGGCCCTTTAACCCACTGGCGGACTCGCTCGTAAAAATACGCAAATCGAATTTGTTTGCGCGTTCGTTCGCGTATAAGTTGTATAAAAAATATCCTCGAGAAAGTAAAATGTTATTATTTCGGGTGGAAAATGGTCCTTTCTCTTGCATCCGAAAGTGCCCTGTCGAGAAGCGAAATATTTACCTAACGGCGAAAGATAGTCTCACGAAGAAGTTTATGCGAACTTTTCAAATTCGACAAAATATCTTTTTCAGGAAAAATAAATGGTAATTCATCTGATTAAGATTCGTAAGGGGGACTTACGAATCATTTCTTTTTTTTGCGATGACTGATTAACCGGTCGAGATCGATGAAAGAAGCGAGACTTTAAAAAGGCCGAGAGATACGAGGTCGCGCTCCAGCGATGACACTGCGTGGCTATTAAAAACAGCGAGCGCTTCCTAAATTCCGCGGATTCGTAAGTGCCGAGTTATGTGTGTTTGTCACGCGGCGATATTTAGGCAGATTTGACGTCGACGATTTATTTATCCCTCTCTGACAAGAGAGAGAGAGAGAGATCACTCGCCGATTATTTATTTCCGATGAAATTTTTCTTGTCCGCCGACTTTATTTTCGTATGGTTTTTTTTTCTAATTCAAGGCCTTACCCGCGATCGTGGAAAGAACCGTTCATGTTGCATTGTCAGTCAATAATCGCGTTATGCAAAATACCGCACTCCGTTATCGATAAACGTCCGCCCACGTGACGCGGACCGACGACAACGTAGCGCGATATTTGCCAATTGTTGAGCGCGGTAAGAACTATACTTACCGAGAAATCTCTAATTTTGGCGCGTGATTGGCTCTATTGTAGTCGACAGTTTCTCGTGGGTGCAGCGTCCCGCTGAAATCAAGGGTAATCAGGCGCCGGGGGTGGACGATTGCCGTTTTAATGCAAACATGTAAAAGAATCGCTTCGTCGAACTCGCTTCTCTTCATAAAAGCTTCATTACTATGATACAAATGCGTCCAGATTAGCAATAGAAAGATACAACGGGCGGGAAGAAAGGGTACCTATCTTGTTCGTAAAAACATCGTGGATTTTTATTTTGTCACGTGGATTTGTACATGATGTACCTAGGAACATGAGTGTACGGAAAATGTGTGTAGCATCTTGTCCTTCTCTCTCTTCGCCTCTCTATCTTTGCTTTCTTTCTGTCTCTTTTTCACGTTTTCCATTCGAACGTGAGGACCACTCGCGGCGAAATAATAATTTCAGTCTAGACGCAGGCACACTGAGTGATTTGAATTATTTCCCTCTTCGCTCCTCGTCGGGTTCTGAAACATTGATCGTGTTTTACACATCTATTATTCTTGTCCTTGAGTCGGAAAGATATTTGATCGGAAATTAAATTTTCTCATTCTTTAGAAATTAAAATATACGATATAATAATGGCTAGGTCTCGCAAATTGAAGTAATCGTGGAAAATGATTCTACCTGTACTCGTGCACTTTAAATCTGGCCGGTGTGCAAGTGTGCTGCTTCGAGTACAGGCCGGCTAGGCACCTGGACGGCTCCTTTTTGTCCCGCAGAAGACACGTCTCCGTCTCGTTCCCCGGACACGTTCCGACGCATTGACCGACGTTTATTTGCTGTCAAAAATAGCAGACAAAAATTGATATCGCTGGCATAAGGAGGGCCGAAGGGAATGTCTTTAACAAAATTCAAGCAAAAAAAAAACCACAAAACGATATATATATATGCCAAATTGATATGTAAGCCTTCTTTTGAATTCCTTTTTAATGATTAGCGAATACTTCATACTCGGACCACGGGCCTCACGTCGGTCGTGTTTGTGCCTTCTTTGATCGTCACCTCGCTATAATCCAGCACAGTTTCCATGTGGTCCATCCGATAACAATGACCGGCGCAGCCGCACTTCTCGACTACTTGGTAAATCTCGTCACCTTGAAAATAACATGAACTTCAATGCGTATGAACTTATAAATGACTCAGACTCTTTCAGAATTTTAATCCCGCGTTTATCCAACGTTTACATACCATTTGGTCCTTTGGCGCTAATTGTATTATTCCGGACCGGTTTGCAACCCAGATCTTGAAAGGCGCAAGAAAAACATTAATTTTCAATTTTACAAAAATTACATGAAACTAAATGAGATTGATGAAGAGAAAATAGCACAAAATATTGTAAGAATCAGGATATTTGAAATAAATGTCGTTGAAGAGACGACGAGCGTATAGATAATCACGGCTCGTATTTCTTTTATCCAGCCGTGATTTTCTTTGCGCGGCTGATCAATCGGTCGCCTTTAGTTCGCGACTCGGAGAGTTCTTACGAGATTGCACCTTTGCCGCAATGACCGACGCAAACTCCGACGTCCACGACTGCCTGGTGCGGCGTGCCGGAATGTACTTGGTGGATGTAGGATTCCCGTCTGCAGGACGACTCCGACGAACAGTCGCAGGCATCTATAGTCTCGATTACGCGAACACCCTGCAACGTAGACACTCGCTCCAGCTTGGCGGCCCTCGCGCGACAATGGGAGTCCGTTGAACATTTCTGAAAGGCAGGCAGAAACGTGAACAATCACCATAAAAGAGAGAAAGCCCTACATGTGTATTTGGCGTGCAAATTAATCCTCGAATTTTCTTTGATGAATTTTGTAAAAGAGTAGCAGAAGAATGATTCAAATTCATTTTAAATTGTTGAACGTTGTTGAAAGACAATTTTAAAGTCTCCAAAAATAATCTGGAAGAAAAAAAAAGAAGAGATTTGATCGACTCGGTGTTGAAAGGAATATCATCGAATAAAAAATAAATGGTCTTAAAGATCTTCTCTTCACGCATTCAGAAGTTAACGCGCGCCGCAACTAATCAAGCTAGCTTGTCCCAACGTTTTTATAGTGTAAAAAAAAAATTGGCTCTCGGCTGTTTTACGATATGGCTCTAAAGATACGCTCGCGCCTGCTACTAAGGATCATATCAGTCGTATCAGTCGTTTCAATAAATCTCCCTCCCCTGCCCCTCGCTCCTGAAGATGGACGGCGATCGCCGTCATCCATCCAGCGGGATCCAGCGGGCGCATAATTCCGGGATTTAGTGGCTGGACACTCCGGCGCCGCGGAGAGGATCGGTGACCGCGGGCACCGATCCGACCTTCGAAGGACGCCCAAACACATATCGCCCTGGTCGCCTCGCGTGTAACACCTCCACCTCGTCGCGATCCCCTTTCCCCGATGTTCCGTCCGCGGTCCAGCCTCAACGCGCCATCGTGGCGCGTGCAGCGCGGCTGCTGTAAAAGACCGTATCTCTGCGGCCACCGCGACCGATCGGATGATTGCGTCACGTAACGAAAATAGCCCTCCTCCGACCGGCCCAAAGATCCGGAATATCCAGGAAGATGTATCGAAAAGGACGAGCGTTTGCAAAAGGAATCTACGTTACGTAGGGTGGGGTTCCCTTCGCCCCCATCCGAAGGTAAGTCGAGACAAAGTTCGACGACGAAGTCATTCGTAATCGTCGGATGGGGCTATTTATACCGCGCGTGGCCGGACACACGTGGAGATATTCGAATTTTCTGCGATACGATAGAATATCGACAGTCAATAGCTTCAGAGATAATTTTTCTAAACGGTAAATGCGGGCAAATGTGAGGCTGGGGAATTGTAAATATGTGAGAGATCGTAGATATCCCGTTAGATAATAATGAAGATAATAAATGAATCTAAAAAGGAATTATACATGAACTATAATGAAACGTCCGTAATTCAAATGAATTTTGTAACTTTCTTTTTCAAAGATACAAGACTGGGTATGTGTATATAAGTTTATTGAAATATTGATTCATTAATTCACCCTACGGTAATAATAGCAGTTCCTTTCGTTTGAGGCTTGGGCGGAAAATAACCGTTGAGGGATTAATGAAATCTACGTGTAAACGAAGGTAGCTATCGCAAAATTATCGTACAAGAATAATTCAGTCGGATATTATTTCGCAGTAAAAATCGTGAAGATCGCGCGCGTAGTCCGGCGTGGCCGCATTCCAATTCGCGGATTGGTCGATCCCGCGCCTCATAAATCTGCACACGACATTCCTTCATGTCTTTTTTCGCCCTTCGCATAGCTCTCGGATGCATGAGAAGACCCGTCGAGGGAGTCACCATGTCTCCTCGACAAAATATTTCAGCGAGCTACGATAAGCTACTGCAATAATTTTTCTTTCAAATACTCTGTTCGCTATCTTGCTTATTGTTAGTGTCGCATTTCTCTCTTTTCATATTTTTGAAATAACATACGTATTATAAGAAAGTCTCTTAACACGGATTGATTGATAATGAATTCGCATTATAATATCGATGATGTTAAGATTAAAAAAAATAGTACAAGTTTATCCGATTAGTCAATGTATTATGCAATTTGTCTTTCTCGATAGTATCGGTGATCAAACGTTGAACCCCGGACTCGAGTGTTTTTCAGTCGGAACCTACGTAATCCATGACTCACGTTTCCAAGACGGACGCAAATTGGAGGTATAAAAATGACGTGGAGCCAAACGTATAAACGTGGAGATCGCGATTCCGCATTGTCGAATGCGGAATCTGATTACATCGATGTAAAATATGTCTTATTATCTATTACTGTCTTCTTTCACATGATCGAAGCGAGGGGAAAAAGAGCCTCGTATGAGGATTTACCTGCACCGCTGGTCGGCTCGCATCCCCGGGATCGTCGGACACTTGTCGCGGGCATAATTTCCGGCAGTGTCCGGCGTCGATTTGGATAACTTCCCCGGATGTTCCTAAACAAAGATCAGATCCGTATTACGCGCGGTGTTTCTGTTGCAGCATATAAGACGTGATAAACAGCCGGTGTGCATATAAGTTCGATCAGGTATACTTTTAGAAAATAACACGCAGGTTTATCAATCGAAAAATTAAAGAAAAAGAAAGAAAGAGAGAAAAAAAAGAGGCGCCGGAACGAAGCCTAAGAAGGGGTGGCGCCTATAGGGGAGGGCGACCGAATCGCGGTGTGTACAACTCTGCTATTTTTGCACGCGAACGCGTGGGACTTGGAATGCGGGAGTATTTGTCATCGGCGCCGTGAGGAGGAAGATTCCTGCGCGATTTATCGCGTTATGTTACGAATAAAAATATGAGCCGAGACTCGACAGAGGAAAGTGCGTCGTTCGAAGTAAGCGAATCAGGGGGAGGAAGGGGGGGAGGGATGACGGGGACAGAAACCGTTCGGCGGGAGGCGTGTAGAGTGTTTTAATTGAAATATTAACTTACGGTCACCGCCGTTCAATTGAAGCCAATAGATCGACGAGAGAATCCGACGCGGGCGACGCGCGCGACGCGAAATTTCGGCCCGAATAAGGCCAGAAGAACGAAAGTATTAATTTATCCCAACAGTTGCACACGCGAATGTTCGATCGTATTACTCATCATTTTCCTCCGAGTAAATGCTGTACAAATTATAAAGATTATAGAGATTTCACAAAGACATATATTCTTTCTTCAAAATTTATTAATTTGATTAATTTATAAATTTTCTAATTTATATTTAGCTATATTGTTAATTTATGCAGACCTATAGATTATGTAAAACTGCTATAGTATATCTTTTTCACGTTGTGGAAGGCAGTTTTTTAAATTTTCTTTTATATATTTTACGCTGCGTCTATTTAGTTGAGCGATGGAAATCTATTCGATTGAGATTGTTTTGGGGCAGAAGGGAACCACGAGAGAAGGGGAATATTTCTATGTAATAAGGATTACAATACACTTTCAAGATGTTTTTTTAAATCGGAGAAATTCAACACTTTGCGATATTTTTTATATAAAACGCCGCACCTGTTCGCGACATACAAACACATTATGACCGGATGTTCCGTTTTTTTTGCCCTATATATATATATTCATTGATTAAGCACGGGATACCAATTCGCCGTGTTGTACACGCGAAGGAGATCGTACTCTTCTAATTATGAATCGCTCATTAATAGGCGCATACCTCTTCACGTTTCCTCCATGAACGTTGCATTTTCTTTCCTCTCTCTTTTTCTTTTTTTTAAATATACATTAGATTGCAGATATCTAGAGTTAAAAGCAGAAATTATTAAGAAATATTCGATATTTTAGACGCTCACCGTATCCGACGTCGATCATCTTCTCGTGTCGGGCGCAGCACGTGTGCTGTCGCGGTTCCTCGTTCCCCGACTCCTCGCAGAAAGCTAAAAGTAACAAAAATCGCGAAGCGATTACGAGTGGAATTTAAAAAAATTTGTGAATTTAGACGTTCGTCAAACGATGCGGCATTAATGGAGCGTACTCAGATATTTCTCATACGTCTTTTATATCATTATTGGAGAGCATTCGGAAAATACATGAGAAATTTCGTAAAAAAGGCGAAAATACAGGAAGCTTGTTCTTTTATAATTTTATAATTTTGAACGTATTATATGGAATCTGATGTGTATCATGCTTCGTGCGGTTTGACGAAAGGCGGATGAGAGGAAAGCAGATCGGGGCAGAAACGGGAGGGTTAATCGACGTTACCTAATCGCAAATTAACCACGCAAACTATGGCGAAACCGGTGAGGACGGTCCACCGTCCCCTCGTGCTTTGTACGCGCATATCGGTACCGATTACCGAGCGGACGACAAACGGATGCGAGCGAGCGAGCGAGCGAGCGATTCGCGCAGGAACGTTCACCGATCAAAAAAGGAGAGACCGATCGCACCGTCGCGATCTTTCTCTCTCTCTCTCTCTCTCTCTCTCTCTCTCTCTCTCTCTCACGATCGTGTCGCAAATCCCCGGATCACCAGAGAACGACTCCGAAGCATCCGGACGCGCGATACCGCTGCTGACTGCTGACGAAGAGTACGCGGCGAAGGGTTACGCGAGGGCCGGTTGGCAGATCGGTATCGAAGGAAGATCGATCGCGTATCGGGTGGCTCGTGCCGCTGCCCACGCGGCTTGCGATCTGCGGGAAGACTGGCCGTCTGCCGTGGCCGGCTGGGAGACGTCCGGCTGACAGCGGCGGATCTCTATTAATCTCGTTTGGTGGACGGGGTCCGCCTCGTGACGGATCGTCCATCACGGTCGGTCTCTCGCCGACCGGCCACTGTCGACGGTCGCTCGATTTTACACTCGTGAGCGTACATTCCGATTGGCCGTCCCGGGTACTTTTTCCACCCCTTCGGAGAAGACGAGCATAAGGAAGAACTTCAGTGAATCTCGCGACGAAACAAACTTGAGCCGTAGTCAATATTTGTCGGGACTTTTTGTTTTTTTCTTTCTCGTCGTTCTATATATTTATAGCAGCCGATCGGAAGTTTGGTCAACTGGGAGAGATCTTGTTACTTTTTACCCCCCGAGAGAGTTCAGTGTTTATTACTATAGACGGTTTAGCTGCACCGAGCGGTCGTCGCTTTGATTAGGGGGCTAATCAGAGTCCCCAACTTCGAGAAGCTCGGCCGAAGTTTGTAGTGTCTTATTAAGACACTCTTCCTGTCGCTAATTTTATCCTCGCAGCCGAATTGATGCCCTCAAACCTTTCTATTCCGAATTAATATGGAAACATTTATCGATTACAATAATGTTGTCATTACAAAATTTATTGCCTTCCATTATCGGTACGATTTAAAGCAGTATATGAGGATTTTTAAAAATTAGAAATACCTGTCTCAGATTAGAACAAAATATCTAATCAATATTATTTCATGCAACATTTCATAAAAGATAATCTCTCGTTTTTCTGATAGAATCTTTTGTGACTCTTCCTTCTCGTTTCTTTAACGATATTTTCGTTGCTGAAATCAGCAACCAAGACAGAAGGGAGGGACGGCTACAGGAGAAAAAGGGACAGAAAAAAAGGACTATCCATCCCTCCTGCTTTTTACCGCGAAGGGAGGGGATTCATTCGTCCGGTTGCAGCATCATCGCAACTGATTACACCGGGAGATCTCTCGCCCTTCTTCCCTGCCCTCCACGCTCGTTAACATCCCCGTTACCGTCGGGATCGTTGAGAGATTCGCGCGAGAGGTCATTATCATTATCTATAAATTACCGCGCGCGCGCGAATCTCAATTTCGCTCGCCGCAACCCGCGGGGGAGAGGGGGAGGGGGAGGAGAGAGGGACATTACCCGACGGAGCGCCCAGTGGCGTACGCGGAGGGTTGATGCGAAGCGGACGAAAGGGAGAGAGAACGCGAGACCTTATCGTGAATTCGCTAAGGAAAATATACCGGAGATGTATAGGCAGTTAAAAAATACATAGATAAAAGGTACATTGTCGTCGCTTTTTTTTTTAACGAAGCACTGGTTACATTGAAAAGCACTCCGAGTAAATGCACTCTTTTTTTATTGCGGTGAAATAATTTCTTGTATTATCCATGATGTTCAATATAAAAAATAAATATTTTTTTGCCTCTAATAATCATCGCAACAAATTGGAATAACAATTGCTTTCGTAATATTTTTAAATAAATATATTTGTAATATATACCTATATATTTTTTTTTTATTAGAATTTTTTTTTATTAGAAATGAAATTACGATAAGTCGAGATATAACGAAAGTTTGGAATTACGATGATTATTAAAAGTTATCGAAACATAATATTTCAACATATATATTTCTGAATTTCGGTATCTTGATATATATTACCTCATTTTCAAAACAAGAAAAGTTCATTTATTCAGGAGAATAAATTATACTCGTTTGCTACTTGTTGTTTGCCAACCTTGACAAAATAACTAATATATTTTTCTGCGTGAATTTGTCAAAATACAAATTATTCTACAATTTTAAAAAATTTTTCTATTAAGAACCATTAAAATAATTATATGTAAGAAAATAGTCAGGAACAATGCCTTCGAATTTCTCTCCTTTATTTCCTATGACCTTGTACAGGATAATCCAGCTTTAAACTGGATAATAATCTGGACTGATAATCCAGACTTTAAAAATGTAAAAAAAAGGTGTGGCAAAAAATTTCCAACAATTTTCGATTTTAATCGATTTTTGTATTTACATAAATATTTATACATTTTCTGAATATACATACATGATTCTTATATCCACTGTCCGTTTCAGGAATCGAATGCAATTAATGCACAAATTCAACAAAAAAGCACAGTAATCGGTAGTCGCAACCAAAGAGGTTAATACTTATACTCGCAACGGAACGCAGCCTCTATGTTTAATGTAGAATAGCAAGTCGTAATCA